TATGACTGAAAATTTTCATTTTTTCTGAAAAGGTGGTGTCTACTTACTTGTGACCACGCTGTGTATGTTAAGGACATCACATACCTATAGCAAACATCATGGAGCTAAAAACCGAGATAACAAATGTCATCTCCACTGTAACCGCAAGCATGTTGCAGTGAACATGGACTGAAATTGAATATCGGTTTGATGTGCTGAAAACTACAAATAGTGCACATATAGAAGTCTAATGACACGTCAATAAAAACTGTGTGAGTTTGGTTACAAGATGTTGAAAACTGCATGGCTGTATTTCTTTAGATATTTAATAATTAAATTTTAAAATAGAAAAGATAATTTTGGACCACACATGTCTACTAGTTAAAAACCAAATGTTTTTATTAATTTTTGTATTTTATGTTTACCACAAGGTTCAAAACAGTTTGAAAATGACACAAATAATGCAAAACTAAGTAAACATATATGTGTATCTTTCATCATCTAATTAGTAATTTTTAATCATGCCTACAATAAACAAAGCTACACTAATAATTCTTATGCCACACTGTGAATATTTTTTAAAATGAAAATATGAATGACAGTTTCAGATTATCCTTACAAGAAATGCAGTCAATTAAACTTAGAAAATTGAATAAAATGAATCAAAGCTGAATTCTAGCCTTCCTGATGTATTTTGTTAAGTATATGTACCATTTTTTTAGTTTAGAATTTTCATTTTGTAGCTCACTTTTAAAATACAAACATTACAAACTTACAATGAAATTTATCAATGTGGAATCACAGAATGACATGAAAGACAAAACTTACATATATACATTTATATGTTAATAAAAAATGTGAATTTAAATGTAGTAATTTTTCATTATTTTATATATATATATTAATACATTTTACATATCTCACTTGTTTCATACCAAGCATTCTTTGCAAAAAAAAAAAAGCAGACTGCTGGATCTTCATAAATATTGAATAGTAATTGTATTAAGGGCTAAAAGTTTGCTATGCAGAATCGACAGAACAAGACAGACAAATGCAAATAATATTGCTGTGTATGGATCTGAAACTAACCTGAATGTTTAAAATAACCCCCTTTTGTTTCACAATATTACATTTAGTTAAGTGCATAGAATTTTCTAAAAAAGAAATTAACATCAATGCAACTATTCTCCTCGCATATGTATAGTAGTCTACAAGAAGTGTTTCATCTGAACAGCTATGAAGTGATATTATACATTGGATTTCTTTTTTTTCATCAATAAACATCTTGTACTCCTAACTCAAATATAAACTTCCTAAAAAAAATTAATTAGTCTTTTTTTTCCTTATGTTTGAAATGTCTGTGTTTTTAAATCTGATAAAAAATAAAATCATATACTGAAACCAAACCAACAATTAAATTGTCCAGTATTCAACCACACAGTAGAAAGAGATTAAAATTAAACATTTCTAAGATCAGTAAAGGAAGTTTTAGTTCACCTGGTTTAGCATGTTCTTGAAATTGCAAAAATTAAAAAAGGGGGATACCAGCTCCACTGTGTCAACAGTTACCAATATCTATCTACACAGATCAAAGCTGAAAATTAGCCAAGTAAATTATATATCTAATTTAATATACTCTTGTCTAACTAGAAATTTGCAATGTCACATTTTATGTGTTGCAATGAGCAATACAATAATAAAATACTTTCTACAGTGCAACAGTACATTCACTAGGTAGCAATGTTCAGTAAAATAATACATCAGTTAAAGAGGTAACAATTTTTAACCATGGTATAGCAGCTCATAGAACAGCTCTGAGCTTTTGGGTTTTTCCCAAGTACAAACGTTTAGCTCATAGCTCCATCGTATCATGGTTGATTTGAGATCTAATTAGTCTTAGACTCAGAAGGTCAAACCTATTCGACTGATGTATTTGATCATGTTCAAGGTCTCATAAATTAATTCAATCTAATCCTGCCTGAAAGAATTTCAATTTGAGGGTAGACTGGTAGAAATCCTGATGAGTAATAAAATTGAATTGGGTATACAAGCATCCCATGTCTGCTAAAGCTGCAGCTGAAAAATATAGTTAATAAAAAGGAAAAAAAGGTATCATAGATTAATTTACTTTAATCATGCCTGAAAGAAGTTCAAATGCTGTGCCTACTGAGGATTCTCTTGTTTTAAACTGCAATAAGCTATAAATTAATAATTTAGCTTAACTCATGCAATGGTCTCTTCATTGCAATTGAAAACAAAAAGAATTTAAGTTCAATTCTGAATTGCAACAAGGAACTTATAAGGTCAAAAGTGTTGACATATTTTCACTATTTCAATGAGAAGAGAAATTAAATTTAACTTCAACTGTCTCTGGCTGTTCAAAAGATAGGCAAAATAAAATTCCAGAAATATTTTATCATCTATATAACTATAATAGTACTGTCTGTTGTATGTCCATTTAACTACTTCACAGGGTGTAGATGGTTCTTCACCAAAATTGGTATGGAGGTTCATTAGGTTCAAGCGGTTGGTACATACAAATTTTCAGTTTTGTATTTGGCAGTTTTTTACAATTACATATAAGTGAAGCAACTTTGCATATCCTAAGATAACCTTTCATTAATCATGAATTTGCATAACTTCCACCCAAGGGACAGGTGCTCTAGCTAGTATTCAATAAATTGTACGTAAGAATGTGTACACCTTCACACAAAAATGACCCAGAACATGTGTAACAAAGAGTGTCAGAGCTCAACAATACAGTATATTCAGGATTACTTTCAATCAGCCTACAAGATACCAAATGATCACAGTTGAAACTACTTCCTACTATGACATTAATTTCAGTTAATTCTACACCAAATGTTAAATAGAGCAACTTTATTTCTATATTACATAAATATAAATGAATGTAGTAACTAACTAAAGACTGCACTTACCAGGCCAAGAACGTAACACTGCTATCAGGGCAAGTCTTGCCATTGTAAATCTTGTTTCCTTGTCTTCACTAAGTGAAAATAAACACAGATAAAAATAAAAAGCAATAAAAATAATTAATCAATTTCTGACCTATCAATCTAAACAGCCATGTTTCTTTTACACAGCCAAACAATAAGTAAATAGACATTCACTTCCCAAAGAATGTCCTTTTATTAATAAATAAATGGGCATAAAATAAAGGCTACAAGATTACTATTAGTATTTTATGGATCTGCCCTTTGCAATCTTTAAGACAAAAACTGGGTTATTATACATCATATTTACACGAGGTCTGAAATCTTGGTTTGTGGAACTGAAGCTCACTTCTTGTGAAGAACTGGGAAGAATTCTTGGAAAGTTAACATTTTCCTAAACTGAAAATGTATTTCCAATAATACTTACCTCCGCTGACACTATAGCTATTTCTCAATCTCCGGGGTTTCCACTCTTTGCCCATCTAAGCATTGAAAACACTTGCTCCAGTCTATTATACCCCACTTGAATGCCCTTGGCAAATTCTCATTTGAAAATTCTCCACCAACTTCAATGCACCCTCTATCTAGGTACTGTAAAAAAGCACCTCATTCAGATAATGTAATCACTTTTTCAAGACATAAACCAGTTTTTAGTGGGGATGTAGGGCAGGAGAGTGTCAGCAAAGGTAAGTATTATTGGAAATACATTTTCATTTCAAGAAAATGTTAACTTCCAAAACATACTTAGCTACACTGAAACTATAGCTAGAATCTCACATTGAGAAGATGGAGGGGCCAGTGCAGGCATGAATCATACAGAAAGCATCTGTATAGAACAGAAGTATATCAATATAAAGATGGTACAAGAGTGGAGGAACTGCACTACATCCAGAACTCAGTTCCAATATCAAAGGTGGAATAGAATACAAGTAATCGTCAGTATAGGCCAGCCCTAACCAGATAGCTGAGGTTCCACAACTTGGAGTTGGAATTAAGGGGTCATGGAGGAATACACTCTAACCCCAGTGACTGGAAACTGGGGTGGTAAGGACTTCCATGCTCCACCAGTAGAGTTATGTTTTTTTTATGCAAAGAAGAGGAAAGTATTTTTTCTTGATATTTTCATTGCAATTAATTTATACTTAGCTTAGTATTTAACATTTTTGATTTTCAAGTTAAAATATATTACTACTACCAAACTTTGGAGTGAAGACTTTTATGAATGTTAAATTGATTTTACATATACTTTTGTATCATTAATTGTTATAAAATGAAATTGCATTTGTTTCAAATAATAAGAAAAAATATTACACACAAATATGTAGTAGAAACAAATTTAACATTCAAACATGTGGAATTTACTGAAATTATGTCCACTTATTTTCATTTCAGAACACACTACTGTTACAACACCAAACTGGAACTTATAACTAAAGCTGGGAGATTAGTGGTATTTGCTAATCAATTAACCAATGACCCCATTAATTTATATTATTTGATTAAACAATTATTACAAGGTTCCTCACATCATGCTACTTACAAATAATTGTTTGTTTTTTATCTCAAAACATATATGAGTGTTAAAAAACAGAACAAATGTAACATATGTATTTTAAATTTATAGATGTTTCACATGTGTAGGATTTCATTCACCCACTTCCCACAACTTTTCACAGTCAGAAAAAATATTGTAAATTCTTACTTGATAGCATGATCTGCTGTATCAGCCGAATATCTGAAGTGTGGATCAGTGAAGGGGCCTAATATACGCTATAAGGAAATACCATAATAATAATAATTGGATTAAGGTTAAATTATGTACTTGTATGTCACAGATAACAAAAAACTTACTTAGAATAATTTAACTTATTTGATTCTATAATACCTTACACATTCATAACAATAAAATCATCAACTTGAGTCTTAGTTGTAGCTACAAAAACAAAAACACCAAAACTGTTTTTTCAAAATGGGAAACAAAAAGTGAACTTAGCCAAATCATGACATTCTTACTAAGAAAAACTGTTATAAATCAACTGTCTTCTACATTCAAAAGTCTCTTCTGAAAGAAGATAGCTGCACAAACAATACATTTCACCATTCCATCGTATTTAAGTGAATGTTTCAGTTTTACCATTATTTTCAACATAAAACACTGAAAGTCATCCTTTATAACATAAGAAAAGTAATGTTCAAAATGCATAAAATTATTTTATACCACACTGCAAATATTTAACAGCACAGTTTCAGTCCTACAACTTTTAGGAATGTTTTAGGTCACCTGAAAACAGTCCCAAGATGAGAATAAAAAAACATGCTTTGAAAACATTAGGTAAATTCATTTTTGTGTATCTTATTCTGATAGACTAACTTTCATTACAGACAGTAAGAGACAAATATATTTGGTAAGTGTAGATAGTTCTAAACATAAATATCTAATAGTAGTAAATGTCTGATCAACATCTCCATTTGAAAGTTATAATTTTCCTAAACTGAAAATGTATTTCCAAACATGCTTACCTTTGCTGACACTAATAGCTATTTCTTGATCTTCATCTTTGCCATCTAATGTTGTGTTTGTTTGCTCCAGTCTTATACCACATTCAACTACCCTTGGCAATATCTAATTTGCAAAACTTTACACCAGCCCTCACATACCCTCTATGCAAGTACTGTATATAAGCTATGCAGACAATAAAATCACTTTTTCGTGACTTACCTCATTCCGGTCACTAACACTGGCTCTTAGTGGGGACGAAGGGAGGGAGAGTGTCAGCAGATGTATGTTTGGAAATACATTTTCAGTTCAGAAAAATGATAACTTCCAAAACATGCATACCTCCGCTGACACTAATAGCTAGAATCCCACATTGAGAAGGCAGAGGGGCCAGTGAGGACAGAGATCATACAGAAAGTGTCTGCAGAGAACAAATATGTACCATGAGAAGTGGTATAAAAGTGGGGAACACCGCATTACATCAAGAACAGGTATGCTCTTCACCCAGAACTACCGAAAATTGAAAAAGATGGAATATAATACAAGTATAATGGTCTAGCCTTGACTAAACAGCCGAGGTTCCACAACTCAGGTTGGATTTAAGGGGTCATGGTACCCATATCCCATGTTGGTGGCCAAGGGAGTTGGACCACAAATATATATATCTTTGTGATAGGATCCCTACCAGTAACCACAGAATGATG